TGTGGAAATTCAAATTTTATTTGCAAGTCCTCACAACTGCATATACTGTATAATTACTTACAAGTTTAATCGCAAACATAAATAATTTCATACTCTAAAAAAGACTAGTAAGATTAACTAGATAAATAATAATAATTCGAAATTTCTAATTTCAATAAATAATAAACGGAAATGGGGACACACCTAATAAAATATAAAAGTTTTAACCTTTTTAAACAGTCATTGGTTATATTGTTTAATATCAAATTCTAAAATACTTTCATAGTTCTGTAATAAAGCAAGAAATAACAAGTGGATAATTATATTTATCATGTAAAATTATATCACTTAAAACTATGTTAAATATCATAAAAATTGAATCTATCTCTATCATAATCAATAAATAATATTGGTAATCGCAACATAATGTTGGAACATCTAATTGAAATTTGATTTTTGATTTATTTGTTTATCTTATCTTCTACTCTAGTAGGTATTTATTCCTTTTCATCGGTACCATTTACTTGCTAAATAACTACAACTTTTTATAAACAAAAAAGTTGAAAAAAAAAAAATGTTTTGTAAATTTTTGTTATAATAGGTACCTACACGAGGAAAGTATCAACATTCCATGATAAGTTTTTATATTATTTCGTATCCATCGCTGTTACCTAATCTTCATTGCTTTTTTATTTTCAGAATGTGTCGGAAAAATATGCAAATGCATCAATTTAGCACCAAAGATAATTAGTTTTGAAGTTAATCAAATTACATCAGAATTCCTCAATATCAGCTGGGAAACAGACAATGATAATTCACTTAATAAAAGAGCTAACAACCTAACACAAATATCTTTTAAGTAAGATTTTTATTTATGTAAAAATACGATAAGTATCGGAAATTATAGACGAATATTTAAAATTTCAAAAAGTACAGCTTTTTATGTAGAAAAATGAAATAACTAATTAGTAATATCTTATATCTTTTGTTAATTATTTCTTTTTTGATAAATATTAATTTATTCTGAGTAGAATGGATGTTATTATATTTTTGCCTTAAGGGTCACACTTAATTGCTTGTTAAGTTATAGACTTAATCATGACGGAGAGCAGCTAGAATCCGATCTACCATTCAATAAATGGTTAAAAGATATAGAAAAGTTTACAAACAAATCGTCAATAATCGTTCCCGCCGATCATTTCAGAAACGATTTTGCTTATGATATACAGGGGAAGTTTCGAAATAACTTTTCTTGCACTTCCTATGTGTATGTTAATAACTTTACCAGTAAGTTATCTCCTTTATTAAATGCATTAGATAATAATATTTCGCAGTGATTTTTCAGTTTTTAAAATGGTAATGTTGACGCAAAGGGATGATATTAAAATGTCGTGGATAAAAATCCCCGGGGTGATAATAATTGCTTCTACAACATTTGCATTTGTGGCATTTTACAAAAGAAATTATTTATCAGTTTTTAAAAAACTATTCCATAGTACATCTTATCAAGCGCCACTAAATCATCCACGGTAACAATAATAGCAATAATACATAACGTTTTTTTTTAAAATAATTTTTTAGACAAGTTGTCTTAGATACTATTAATCCTCTGTACCAAGAGCAACCCTTAATTGCAAAAGAAAATACATCAGAAATTGCGACGGTAATAAAATAATTTCTTTGACTTGCACTGTCATTACAACAATAAAATGTTATAGGACCATTACGAGTTCCCAAGAGATAATCTTAGATTTATTAAGTTTATAAATGGTGGTGAATTTGGGGAAGTTCACTTGGGGAAAGCTCTTAACATTGGGGGAAAACCGGGTTGGACGTATGTCGCTGTAAAGAAAGCAAAAGGTACATTACTAATGTATATATTGCAAAACTAATAAGACAAATGCATATATACAGGGTGATCGTCTTACATTATTTTGTAATCAATTTTCAGTGCTTATTTGGAAATATTTAAACTACGTAAGAAACATTATAAATTTTTAAATAAAATACTGAAGATTTATTTTAAAATTTAATCACGATACTCAAAGTTAGAAAAAGTATAAGCGCACCCTTTAATAAATAATTAATAATATAAAGTTACAAAGCAATTTGTGCTGAAGTTTTGAAATAATTATTTTTAGAAAATTATGGAAAATCTGAAATGTGTGACGATTTTCTGGAAGAAATCAGCGTATTAAAAAAAATCTCCGACCATCCCCATATTGTGAGTTTATTGGGTTGTTGCACTCGGGAACATCCCTTTCTGATATTAATGGAATACGTTCCTTGTGGTAGTTTGAAGGAGTATCTCATGGAACTGAGAGAAAAATGGTCCGAATTAAAGAAGAGGAGAAGAACAGAAAGTGACTCCGTTTTTAATGAGTACGACAAGGAAATATATTACAATACAACTCTTATATAAATAATTAAGGCAAAAAATGACTAAATTAGATTAAAAACTAAAATGTTTCAAAATTGTATTCTCAAATGAGTAACTATGAAACACTTTCAGAGGAAGTGAATGCAGTTACATATGTCCTGAAAGTCCTGGTTCAGGTACTACCTCGGGAAGACCTTTTTTTCACCTGCCATCAACCACTGAAAGTATGTACAACAACAACAATAACAACAAATCGATATTTAAAATTACTACGATTTCAGCGGAATATACAAATCTAAGTAGCGAAGGTCCAAATTCGGCGTCACCTACCACGCCTTCGGGACAATACTCTATGGAATATCTTTTAGATAATAAAGAACTCAAAAGATTCTCGTTACAAATTGCCAAAGGGATGGCATATCTTGAACAATTAGGCATAACTCATAGGTAAGAATTAATTTGATATGTATCCGATAACTACAATTATTTTGGAATATTCTACATTTCTTTTTATAATAGGGTACGGAACCCTAACTGTTACGTAATCAAATATCGAATACCTAGTACTATATATCTACTGGAAATTATATTCAAATCCATTCAGTATTTTGAAGTAAATCATATTTAAAAGACAATTTAAAAAACAAAAGTTTTCAGAAAATAACTTTCCACTTTTTACAAATTATCCAGAAACAGGCAAAGACTTCTTTATGCCTTTTTTTCTTTTGTAAGAGCAAAATGCTGTCCCTAATGTATATACATAGTGTCCCTAGAAGTAATATTAATTCTGATTAGCATTAGTTCATAGCACGTTCTGTATATGGATTGGATAAATGCGTATAAGCAATATAAAATTCATACTTTTAGGGACTTAGCTGCCCGTAATATTCTAATGGATGAATTCAAAACCCTAAAAATTACGGATTTCGGCTTGTCACGTTACGGAACGTATGTCGTGGCTAATAAAATTAAACTTCCCGTTAGATGGATGGCAATAGAATCGATAAAAGATTTAGTATTCAATAATAAGACTGACGTTTGGTCTTTCGCTGTAGTTTTATGGGAAATTGGAACATTAGGTAATTAATTTTCTACGATTTTTTTTTAATTTTCGAACATATCCACTACTTATATAGCAAAATGTATCTTTTAGGAGGTTTGCCTCACAAGGAAGTGCCAGTTGAATTGCTTCATAGTCATATAGTAGCTGGGCACAGACTGGCAAGACCTCCAATATGTACCGATGAACTTTACTCCCTTATGCAAAAATGTTGGGCTACCAATCCAGATGATAGGCCAACATTTAAAGAAATAGTTGAAATACAACGTCATAAAGACACGGTGGCATACATTGATTTTAGTTTATTAAATCCGACTTACATGTTTCCACCGACAGATTAATATTTTATTACTTTTATATTTCATTAAAATTGATTGCCAATTTTATACAGGTAGTTATTCTATACATTGATGAAAACCGCATCAAAATCAATTGAGAAATGTCCGAGCTGTTAATTTTTTAAGTTTAGATTCCTCAAATCATAAAACAAGCTGTGGCGCTTATTTGTCAATGAACTTGCTTACAACCGCATTCTACGCTAAGCGCCATGGCCGAACAGCTGCTACTTGACCTAGTTTCTGATTGGTTCCTGAATTGCCGCGAAGAATGGTAGCCAATCGGGCGCCTTTACACGTCTTTTAACAATGAAACTTTGCATTCCTGAGTCAGTAACCCTCGGTTCATAGGAGGGTGTGCTTCGTTCCATCAGAAAAGTTTTACGTAAATAATTTTTGTAACAAAGTTATCTCCTTTATATGATGCATTAGATAATAATATTTCGCAGTGATTTTTCANGTTTTACGTAAATAATTTTTGTAACAAAAAATAAAAGTTTTTGCACTAATTTTATCGAAAGCACAGTTGCACACTCAACAGAAAAATCAATGCTTATATAACTGTAAGTAAATGAACCGAGATTTTAAATCAAAATCAATTTAAAGAAAATTAATTTAATGTTCTACATTATTATAAAAAATAATTTTCGTGTCAAAATTACTGATAGTAAAATGATCTCGTTGCTCACAAATAGAAGTTTTAATGCTTTTAAAGAGTTGTAAGTAATGAAACATTAAATTTATGGTATGTTCAGCAAAAGTACCTGAATTTTATTTTCCAAACTTCATAGCCTTGCTGAAGTTATTAAAACCTTTTGCAATAAAAATTATTGTATTGGTAAAGTTCAAAACAAACTTATTTAAACGTTTAACATAAAAGTGATTAATATTAGGCTGATAATAAGAAAAAAGCCGCCAAATTTAAAAATTTCATTTGAGAAACCAATAAAATATGTAAGATAAAAACCCTATAAGGAACCAAAATGACTCTTTGTATATCTATTATCTATGATGACAACCATGATGACAACCATGATGACAGCCAAACGATTACTATATAACCTCAAATATACAGCAAATCAATTTAAGTTACTCAGTACATTAAAAAATAAATTAGGAATGGGTCAGTGGGAACAAGAAAAGCAAAAATTCTTGGCAATGCCCATCGAGGAAAAAAGAAAGTTATATAAATCAAAAGGATCGTTTGTAACTATTTCCGACATACCGACTTGGAAAGAGTACGCTGCCAAAACAACTCTACCAAAAAAGGCAGAAATTCTACCCTCCCAAAAAATAGATTCGTCAAAAAATCAGTCCTTAGTAGACTTGGTGTCTATATATAGAGGCGACATTACGACTTTAGAAGTAAGAATGCAGTACAGTTACAAATAGTGTAATTTTAAGGTTATGCTTTAGGTTGATGCTATTGTAAATGCAGCAAATAGCTCTTTGCTGGGTGGAGGTGGTGTTGATGGTGCCATACATAGGGCTGCTGGACCTCTTCTAGTAGAAGAATGTAAAACTTTAGGTGGCTGCCCTACTGGAGAAGCAAGAATCACTGGGGGTTATTTGTTACCGGCTAAATGTATGTGCATGTATTGTTTACATTAATTACTTAAAATTATGCTAAGTATTATATTATTTTAGACGTTATACACACTGTAGGCCCTCAAGGAGAGAAGCCAGATCTGCTTGCTAAATGCTACAGAAATAGTTTGAACTTGATGAAAGAAAATAATCTGAAGACTATTGCTTTTTCATGTATTTCAACAGGGGTTTATGGATATCCACAAGAACCAGCATCTAAAGTCGCAACTTATGAAGTAAGGAAATTTTTGGAAAGTTATCCTGGAACTATTAGTCGCGTGATTTTTTGTTTATTTAATGAAGAAGATGAAATGTTTTATACACAAATATTGCAATCCTTATTTCCATTAAAGTAAATTATACATTAATACATATGTCTGTAATCTTAAACATTGTTAATATTATTTTCTTTTTCTTTTAATTAACTAATTTCTGGAAATAAATAACCAGCTCTTTTCTCAATTTTTATAAATAATACCAAATGATACCTTTCCAATAAACTACATTTAAATTTGAATGATCTTTTCCCTTAGTGTTCTGTTTGTTTTTGCTTAAAAAAATTAAAAAGTTCAAAAAATTACAGTATTTTATTATTATTTTTATTTTTGTGTATGATGTTTTGCCTACTGTATATTTTGAAAATTGTTTTTCTAATAAAAACGCGCATGCTCAATAAACGAAACGAATAGAAAATAGAAAGAGATGCATATAGAAATAAACTGAGAAAGAAAGGTGAAAACGGGAGACTAAGTGAGTTTCTGTGAATCTTTATTTTCTTGATTTATTAGTGTAATTTTTGATAAACATTAAGTGAATTGCCGTGTAAATAGTGTCTTTTTGAAAGTACTGATAAATAATGGTTTCTGATGATGAAATTGACGACTCCTTCGCCGGTAAGTTGAGTGAAGACTTTTTGCCTGCTCGCCAATTTTTAAATGTAATCTGATTTTTAAATAACCATAATATGTGCAATTGAAAGTATTCTTATTGCTCTGCATTATAAAAACTAACAGAATCTAAATATATTAGGTTTTTTTATTAAAAAATTAGTAATTAGGTAATTTGATACATACACATTAGGAGGGGGAGGGGGGTGATAGGTTTTCATTATTTTTGTGACAGCGCGCGAGCATATTCTGACCCTTAACAAAATGGAGGCCATCAAACAAAGAGATCAGCAATGCATAAATTACTTATTTTCTTGCCAAAATTATTTTGGCCCTTTTGGGGTTAGAAAGTTCATATTTTCCCTCCAATATCGTGTGACAATGACCACTGTCCACATGTTCAGCACATGTGACTTATATTTTGAATTTGTCCAGGTGACGAAGAAGCCGCTGAGGAAGGTACCCAAGATCAAGTAGACAATTCTCCGGAGTCCGATGACGGACTGCCGAAAGGGGTGAGCTTTTCGTTTTTTAAAATCTTCAGTGTCATTATTTGTAATGTCATCATACACCTGTAAATATTTAATATAGGTATAATTGAAAAATAGTAGGTAATATATAAGAAAATTTTTTTAAAACATTTTGTTATTGAAGATTCTCCTTACCTTTTTATTTAGCTATTACCTTTTTTTTATCAATAAAACAGGAAGAAGATGATGACTATGAACCAGAAGACAATCGTAAAAAGAAAAAAGGAAAAAAACGAAAAGCTCGTAGTGAAGAGAAGAAAGGGAAAAAGAAAAAGAAAAAGAAGAAAAATGATAGTGAAGAAGTAAGATGTCACTTTTAGTTTAAATTTTATAATTTTCTTGCTACAAAACAAGAAACATTTTAGGATAGCGATTTTGGACAGGATGAAGAAAATGGAAATGATTCTGACTATGGCAGTAGCAGAAAAAGTCGTAAATCAAGGGGATCATTAAAGCATTCTGCTCCCCAAGAAGTTGCATCATCTAGTAGTGGAGGAGGAAGCAGTTCTGGTGCTAATGCAAGTGGAAACAAAGGTCATGAAGGTAAATAATTCAATATACACCTAATTCTGTTTTTTCATGACTTCATTTGTCTAAACTTACTGCATTTTAACTTCCAGCTGGCATGCCTACAATTGAAGAAGTTTGTTCAACTTTTGGTTTACAAGATGTAGAACTTGAATATAGTGAATCTGATTTCCAAAATTTAACCACATACAAACTATTTCAACAGCATGTTCGTCCATTGCTTGCTAAAGAAAACCCAAAGGTACCTTTTAACCACATTTTTGTACACATAATACGTAATTATTTATTATTTTTATATTTAATGCAGGTTCCAATGTCAAAGCTCATGATGTTAGTGGCAGCCAAGTGGCGTGAATTTTCTCTTCTAAATCCGAATTTACAACAAGTTGAAACCAATTCTGATAGACCTTCTACTCCTTCAAATGAATTAGAATATTCAGCTAAATCTAATCGAAATAGAGCGACAAAAGACACCTCAAAGGCTGAATCAGAAGCGTTCGATGACGATGATGACGAAGAGGATGAGGACGATTCACGTAACAAAAAGAAACGCAGTTCAAGCAGGAAGAAGGCCTCAAAGAAAGCTACCAAAGTACCCACATTGAAAATACGATTGGGTAAAAGAAAACGTGGAAGTTCTGTAAGTCATATTAATTATATTATTTCGTTGAGATTATTTGACTAATTGTATATTGTAAATATTAGGAAGAAGAACCTGAGGGTAGTGCGAACAATAGCGACCGAGATTCGGATGTCGAGTTCGAACAGATGCTTCAGGAAGCTGAAGAACCAAGATCAAGTAAGGCTGACGAGGAATCCCAACAAATAGACGATGTAGAAGAAACTCCACAACCCAGGCGTAAAGCTAAGACTAAAATTGGAAACAAGACTAAAAAGAAACGTAAAGTTAAGCCAGGAAAACCAGAAGGTGAAGAACAATATGAGGTAAGTTATTCGTCAATTTGCATTTTACTACATGTATATCCATATTCATACATAAATGCTAAATTAGAAGAGGCAGCTAACAAAAAAATAAAAATAAAGTCTACTCTAGTAGGTATTTATTCCTTTTCATCGGTACCATTTACTTGCTAAATAACTACAACTTTTTATAAACAAAAAAGTTGAAAAAAAAAAAATGTTTTGTAAATTTTTGTTATAATAGGTACCTACACGAGGAAAGTATCAACATTCCATGATAAGTTTTTATATTATTTCGTATCCATCGCTGTTACCTAATCTTCATTGCTTTTTTATTTTCAGAATGTGTCGGAAAAATATGCAAATGCATCAATTTAGCACCAAAGATAATTAGTTTTGAAGTTAATCAAATTACATCAGAATTCCTCAATATCAGCTGGGAAACAGACAATGATAATTCACTTAATAAAAGAGCTAACAACCTAACACAAATATCTTTTAAGTAAGATTTTTATTTATGTAAAAATACGATAAGTATCGGAAATTATAGACGAATATTTAAAATTTCAAAAAGTACAGCTTTTTATGTAGAAAAATGAAATAACTAATTAGTAATATCTTATATCTTTTGTTAATTATTTCTTTTTTGATAAATATTAATTTATTCTGAGTAGAATGGATGTTATTATATTTTTGCCTTAAGGGTCACACTTAATTGCTTGTTAAGTTATAGACTTAATCATGACGGAGAGCAGCTAGAATCCGATCTACCATTCAATAAATGGTTAAAAGATATAGAAAAGTTNACAACCCAGGCGTAAAGCTAAGACTAAAATTGGAAACAAGACTAAAAAGAAACGTAAAGTTAAGCCAGGAAAACCAGAAGGTGAAGAACAATATGAGGTAAGTTATTCGTCAATTTGCATTTTACTACATGTATATCCATATTCATACATAAATGCTAAATTAGAAGAGGCAGCTAACAAAAAAATAAAAATAAAGTTCATAGAAATATATTTTAAGTAATAAAGTAATAATATAATAATTTTTGTAGCATCAAGATTATTGTGAGGTGTGCCAACAAGGAGGCGAAATTATCCTTTGCGATACATGTCCCAGAGCTTATCATTTGGTTTGTCTTGATCCCGAATTGGAAGACACTCCTGAAGGACGTTGGAGTTGTCCTCATTGCGAAAATGAAGGACCCGCAGAACAAGATGACGATGAACACCAGGAGTTCTGTCGCGTATGTAAAGATGGCGGGGAACTACTCTGCTGTGACTCATGTCCCTCAGCCTATCATACGCATTGTCTTAATCCTCCTCTAACCGACATACCAGATGGAGACTGGAAATGTCCTCGATGTAGTGTAAGTGTAAAATTTAATTTTTTTTTTGTAATTTTCTTCAGTGATGTGACCTAAATAACTTTTATTTTCTTGCAGTGTGCTGCATTACCTGGCAAAATAGGCAAGATTCTCACATGGAGATGGGTCGAAGAAGAACCAAAACAAACTCAAGAAATGCTTTTGAACGCGAATAAGAAGAAGCTTAAAAAGCACCGCGAATTTTACGTGAAATGGTTCGATGTATGTATTAATTCTCATATTTTTAACATAAACTTTTAACTGTAATTTTCAGCGCTCATACTGGCATTGTTCATGGGTAACAGAGCTACAATTCGATGTTTATCAGCCGTTGATGTTGCGCAGTTACATGCGCAAGTACGATATGGAAGAGCCCCCTAAATTAGAAGAGGCAATTGACGAAGAGTGCCAAGCTCGATTTAAGATTTCAGAAACAGAAGCAAACCAGAAAGAATTAGAAGACAAGTATTATAGGTACATTTATAATTCAAGTTTAATTTTAGTGTAAGAGATATGGAATACTAAAAATTCATACTTTCCCAGATATGGAGTCAAACCAGAATGGCTGGTGATCCATCGTGTTATTAATCACCGAAATATGCGTGATGGCAGGGTATTGTATCTTGTCAAATGGCGAGAGCTACCCTACGATCAAGCTACGTGGGAGGATGAAAACGACGACATAGTAGGCCTCAAAACGGCCATTGAATATTACATGGTATGATCCCTTTAAAACTTTGAACACAGCATCTGTATATTTTATTTTCCTTTGTCGTAGGATTTGCGAGCTGCTTGCACCAATGATTCAAACAAAAAAGGGAAGAAAGGCAAAGGAAAAAAATCAAAGACGAGGGAACTACAGGATGAAGAGGATAGTGGAAGTAAATCTGCACCGTAAGTAATTGTTTTTGTTTAATCTTAAGCCTTCATAATATTTATTTATTTAAATAGAAGATATACTCCACCTCCGGAAAAACCCCTTACCGACCTGAAAAAGAAATACGACAAACAACCTGACTTTTTGGTCGAAACAGGCATGCAATTACACCCTTATCAATTGGAGGGACTCAATTGGTTGCGATATTCGTGGGGTCAAGGTATCGATACCATTTTGGCCGATGAAATGGGTCTTGGCAAAACTATCCAGACTATAACCTTCTTATATTCTCTCTATAAGGAAGGCCATTGTAAAGGGCCTTTTTTGATTAGTGTACCTTTATCCACCATTATTAATTGGGAGAGAGAATTTGAAGTGTGGGCTCCTGATTTCTATGTCATCACTTATGTCGGTATGTTATTATTTACATTATTTCTTTTTTGGGAAAAATTTTAGCAGTTTTTAAAGGTTTTATATATTTAGCTAGTAAAATTATATACGTTTACAATAAATCTTAGGCAATGATTCTCTTTTAAAACAGTATAGTTTTTACATAATTTTTCGTATTTTTCAGGTGACAAAGATTCCAGAGCTGTAATTCGAGAAAATGAACTTAGTTTTGAGGAGGGTGCTACAAGAGGTGGACGGGCTTGTAAATTAAGGACTAATCAAATAAAATTTAATGTGTTGTTGACTAGTTATGAATTGATCTCAATCGACGCTGCTTGTCTAGGGTCTATAGATTGGGCAGTTCTTGTTGTTGATGAAGCCCACAGGCTAAAAAGCAATCAGTCAAAGGTACTTTATTATTTTATTTGATAAAAATTAACTTTCTAACGAATTATTTTTAATTCTTGATCAGTTCTTCAAACAACTGGCTGGCTACAGCATTAATTACAAACTTCTTCTGACTGGTACTCCATTACAAAACAACTTAGAGGAATTATTTCATTTGCTTAATTTCCTAAACGGCCAGAAATTCAATGACTTGGCTTCATTCCAAAACGAATTCGCTGATATATCTAAAGAAGATCAAGTTAAAAAACTTCATGAAATGTTGGGACCTCATATGTTGCGTCGATTGAAGGCTGACGTGTTAAAGGTGAGAACATATTCCCTTATTCAAAGTTTATTATTAGAAAAACTATTTAATTTTCCGTAATCTGCTATCGTACAAAATAAAAATAAATGTTTATTTTAAAGAATATGCCGTCCAAATCGGAGTTCATTGTCCGTGTAGAATTGTCGCCTATGCAAAAGAAGTTCTACAAGTATATTTTGACTCGTAACTTCGAAGCTTTAAATCCAAAAGGAGGTGGCCAGTCCGTGTCTCTTCTTAACATAATGATGGATCTTAAAAAATGCTGTAATCATCCGTACTTGTTCCCGGCTGCAGCTGAAGAAGCTCCTCTAGGTCCAAACGGTTCCTATGAAGTTACCAGTTTAATTAAAGCAGCAGGCAAACTAGTACTCTTGGCAAAAATGCTTAGAAAATTAAGGGAACAAGGCCACAGGTAACCAATGCTTTGCTGAAAGTAAAATTTGTTTTATAGTTTTGATGTTTTTTTATAGAGTTCTTATTTTCTCGCAAATGACAAAAATGCTAGACATCCTCGAGGATTTCCTAGAAGGAGAAGGATATAAATATGAAAGAATAGATGGTTCTATAACGGGTACAACGCGTCAGGAAGCTATTGATCGTTTTAATGCACCTGGTGCTCCACAGTTTGTATTTTTGCTCTCAACAAGGTAATTTATTATCCACATTCGATGAAATTGTGTTATTAATAAAATCAATATTTTTTGTTTTTGTGTATAGAGCTGGAGGTTTAGGGATTAATCTGGCGACCGCTGACACTGTCATCATTTATGACTCTGACTGGAACCCACACAATGATATTCAAGCTTTCTCTCGAGCTCACAGAATTGGGCAGGCCAATAAAGTCATGATATACCGATTTGTGACAAGAAACAGTGTTGAAGAACGTGTTACTCAGGCAAGTTAATTGTATTTTTGTATCAAATATACTTTTTGTGATGCTCAACATTTAAATTGTTAATATTTTTGTTTTAATAGGTAGCCAAACGTAAAATGATGCTGACTCATTTGGTAGTGCGTCCTGGAATGGGAGGCAAGGGGGCAAATTTCACTAAACAAGAACTTGATGACATCCTTCGTTTCGGTACCGAAGAACTGTTCAAAGAAGACGAAGGTAAAGAAGACGAAGCCATTCACTATGACGACAAGGCTGTTGACGAGCTTCTAGACCGGTCTAAAGAGGGCATTGAACAGAAAGAGAATTGGGCCAATGAATACCTAAGCTCCTTCAAAGTGGCAAGCTATGTAACCAAAGAGGGCGAGAATGAGGAAGAAGTAGACACGGAGATCATTAAACAAGAAGCCGAGAACACCGATCCAGCTTATTGGATTAAATTGTTACGACATCATTATGAGCAACAGCAGGAGGACATTGCCAGAACACTTGGTAAATTATTAGAAAATTTACTGCTACAAATGTAATGTGTTAAGAAAATAAATTGACAAATGTTTTTTTCTTTTTGTTAGGTAAAGGTAAACGTGTCAGAAAGCAGGTGAACTACAACGACGGCGGTATGACGACTGATACCAGAGAAGATACCACTTGGCAAGAGAATTTGTCAGATTACAATTCAGACTTCTCAGCTGGCTCAGACGAAGACAAAGAAGACGACGATTTCGATGAAAAGAACGAAAACGACATGAGTAGGAGAAGCAAACGCAGGATGGAGAGGAAGGACGAAAGGGACAGACCCTTGCCACCCCTTCTTGCACGTGTCGGCGGCAACATCGAAGTTCTAGGTTTCAATGCTAGACAACGAAAAGCGTTCCTAAACGCTATCATGCGATATGGTGAGTAAAATAATTAATTACGTACATAGTAACAAAGTTTAATGAATTTATTAATTAGCTGAAAATCTTGATCTTGATATTTAATTAAAGGTATGCCACCCCAAGACGCCTTTAACTCCCAATGGCTAGTTCGCGATCTTCGTGGAAAATCAGAGAAAATATTTAAAGCCTATGTTTCCTTATTTATGCGTCATTTGTGCGAACCTGGTGCCGACAATGCAGAGACGTTTGCAGACGGGGTACCCCGTGAGGGTCTTAGTCGTCAACACGTACTAACCCGTATAGGTGTAATGTCTCTTATAAGAAAAAAAGTGCAGGAATTCGAGCACATCAATGGCGAATACAGCATGCCGGAACTAATTAAGAAAAATGCAGCAAGCGCTGTTGCAGCTGCAAATGCGACAGACAAAAAGGAAGCGGCCTCGGCCGATGGCGATACACCGAAAAGTGCTACCACGAGTACCAGTGCAACACCTGCAACCAGTGCTGCTGCAAGTCCTGCACCCACCCCCAGCGAAGCAAGTGAAACCAAGGATAAAGAGGTAAGTTTTAATCTATTTATATTAGGAATTTGAAAATGAACCTTCTTTTTTATAAAAATTTTACTTTAGTAGTGTACTTAGTCCCAGAGGTTTAATTTTAAAGTTACTGTTAATATTATATATAAAATAATGTATGAGTGCTGTCAACACAGGACAAAATAGTATTACGTAGTTAGGATATGCAATTTCTTATGTGTTGCATACCTATTTACAAATAATATCTTTAAATTTAATTTTTCAAACAATTTTTTAACACAAAGAAAGTGATTAAAAAAATTGTTCACAAAAGTGAATTTCGACCATTCGAAGCAATAGTGCTAACAGTTTCGAGCTCACAGTGACTGATAGGGGGGTAGAACTAGTGTCTGAAAAACTAAAAAAGTTACTTTTATTTCTATTTTCAAATATTTTTCATTTTGCTTTCAGAATGATGAAAAAGAAGCTCTAGGTGAAGTTAAACCGACTGCAGAGGAGTCTCCAACTGTTTCTGAGGCCGCTTTATCCACTACTCCACCTGCAAATGAGACGGAAGTTAAAGCAGAAGAACAAGAGTTTAAACAGGAAGATTCGCCGAAAGAAGAGATAGAGGAAAAGAAGGAAGCCTCAGAGGAAGTAAAGGTTGAAGGTGCTGACGTAAAACCTGAGGAAAAAATTGAACCTAAAGAAGAAATTGAAAAAGAAACTGAAGACGAAAAGAAAGACGAAAAACCCAAAGATTTGAAGAAGGGAGAAGATGATGACGTGGTAGTTGTTAACGAAAAGGTAAATCAGTTTAAATTTAAAAATATTCTAATTAATACATTACTTTGCAAGTATAACGTAAGAACTATCCATTCCATGAAAATATGTAATACGAGTTTCTATTATATTAGAAGGAAAAAACAGAAAAGGAGATTGAAGAACCTTCAAAGAGACGTTTCATGTTCAACATTGCTGATGGAGGTTTCACTGAACTCCATACGCTCTGGCTTAATGAAGAAAAGGTAAAAACAGTATGAAAATTTATCCCTATTCACATATTTATGCTGGTCGTATTTTTTCAGGCTGCAACTCCTGGTCGTGAGTACGAAATTTGGCACCGTCGTCACGATTACTGGCTCTTAGCTGGCATCGTAACCCATGGTTATGGACGCTGGCAAGACATTCAATCGGACGCCAGGTTCGCTATAATTAACGAGCCCTTCAAAATGGACGTAGGAAAAGGGAATTTCCTCGAAATTAAAAATAAATTCTTAGCAAGACGATTTAAGGTAACATATATTTATAAATTTACAATTCAATTCAAAAAGAAAGTTAGTTTTTTGAAATATTGATCTAGAAAGCGAATAAATAATTGTATTGTAGTTGTTGGAGCAAGCTCTGGTTATCGAAGAACAGTTGAGAAGGGCAGCATACTTAAACCTTACGCAAGATCCTAATCATCCTGCCATGTCTCTAAATGCTCGATTCGCTGAAGTCGAGTGCCTAGCAGAGTCCCATCAGCATCTTAGTAAAGAATCATTGGCCGGTAATAAACCTGCCAATGCTGTACTTCACAAGGTGGGTGATGAATTTTCTTTCTTCTTTTTTCTATTGCTTTGTATATATCTTTCCTAAAGTTTATCAGGAAATGAATTTATGAATTTAACTATCGTATAATTTATTTGTATATTTTAGGTATTAAATCAGTTGGAAGAGTTGCTCTCTGACATGAAGTCTGATGTGTCCCGTTTGCCTGCTACTCTGGCACGAATTCCTCCGGTTGCCCAACGACTCCAGATGTCTGAAAGAAGCATCTTATCACGCCTGGCTGCAACATCTTCAACTAACAGCCAATCAACGAGTAAGTACATGTTTTAAAACTTGACTGACAATCTATTTATTCACAAATGCTGAGATGGTTAGCTGCTTGATACGTAGAAAATTATTAACATACTATTTCTAATATAATTTTTTCTGGCGTATATGAGTTAGATGAAATTGGTTCAACTTAATTTCTAAATACTGTTTTGTAAATCCCTTTCTGTTGCGTTCGGTACTCAAAAACAGATTATGTATTATATTTTATTGTTCTAAAATTCGAATTTGTGAGATTAGTTATTAAATAATTTGAATAAAAAATATACAGTTTTCCCCGAATTATTTCTACTTAATTTTATTGTAGTTTTCAAACCATGTCACTGCTTTATTTAGCTCTTATGTTGTGTTGAATTTATGCCTTTATTATTAAAATAAATCGAAATAATTATATTTTTTCAGCACAAATGATGAGTCAATTTCCACCCGGTTTCAACGCGGGTAGTCTGCAAGGTTTTGCTGCTGCAACAGCAGCGAACTTCACCACTTTCAGGCCCCAGTATTCGGTACCTGGACAGCCACCATCCGGATTTCCATCATAAACAATATAAAAATTACATTTCCTTTTCATGTTAGACTTAAACGTGATAGCACAAACATTTAAATTAATCATTCTGTTTTTTTTTTGTTCATCTTATGAAACAATATATTATACTTGGCTGAAAAGAGATCTCTTTCTTTGACTTAACAGCATATTTCGTTTACGTTTAATATTGCTTTTCATTTGTAGTTAACTAAATTATTGTCGTCACGTTGTTCTCTTTAATTTTTTTTTTTGTTATTTAAAATTTAATTTTAATTACGTACAAATTATTTATAATAAATAAATAAAGTGGTTGGTTTTAGGTATTATTTTTGACGTGTAATGGTCGGTAATGTGTTTTTTTAGTTCTCTACTCTCGATTTATATTTAAAAAGTATCCATAGGGTTAAATAATGTAAGAAAGTGGTTGTTACAAAAAAAAGGTATGCTCGCTCTATCCACTTTGGTTGTAGATTTTTTTATTAAATATGGTTTGTTCAGAAAACATTCCCAATAAAAGAATTACCACGCCAATTTAAGACTTTTATTTCACATAGTGTTGCGTTTTAATTTAATTAATATTTTCAACTAAAACTATCATATTAATTGAGATTATTATTCAAAATATAATAATTCTGCAAAAGAACAGTTATTTTGCATAGTGTTGCGTTTTAATTTAAAATTAATATTTTCAATTAAAACAATCACACTAATTGAGATTATTAACCAAAATATACTAATTGAGCAAAAGAACAGTAGTAATTAAATAGTACGTTAATAATTGAAGATTAAGATAAAGGTTTTATAGTAACTGTATCTTTTAATCTTTTCCATTTGTGTTTTAATTTTTTTTGAAACCAAGATAAAAAACTAGTTTTGTAATAATGCCCACAATAGTATTTTGAGTCCCTTTTATCGTAACAATCCTCATACACAAATAAATTACTGTAAAATGAAAGCACCTACAATAATAAATAAGTGGGAAACAAACGAATGCTAGCTTAAAATACGAAATAAAGTATTGATTAAAGCATTAAAAATGGTGAAGGTGTTGGGCATTTAATAAAGTATT